TCCAGTGGCATTGTACCTACTGGAAAAGCATGCTTATAGGCTAAATAGTGAATTCAAAATAATTAAATCAATCTTAGAAGTCTCGAGAACAGGCGCGAGCAAAGTAGATATATAGAATTCCTATGTTTTAGAATATATTTCGGATAGTGTGCACAGGAATTGCATGATTTAATTCCTTCCTCTATGTCTCAACATCAGACAAATAGACACTAGTCTGGTTTCCTTATCTTTGATGTCGATATACCACGTATATGAACGAAATGGTTTGTTTTATGGTTTGTAATCCGTACAGCCAAAGAGTGGAATAATTTGACACAATTTGCCCTTAAGGCAAGAGAGAATAATAATAATAATAAGGATTTTGATAAGCTGAGTCAGTGCACTTTCCCTTCGACTACGTCAACACTTACAATCTTTGAAGTCTGTTTTTACTTTGTGGTGGCGCTGTCATCGCGCCACAAGCGAAACATATCGAAGCTTAAATCGCGCTTTCAAAGTTCCGAATCATAAACAGTATATATAGGAGAGCTCCGAACGATTACACTGAGCGTTGTTGGCCGCTCCCCGGGCAGAATGCCTTGTCTGGCGGGAGATCTCCCCTTTTCCCACCACGGCCACAACTTTTTATTAAAAGGTTATATTTTTAACTCTTCTGAGTGGACTGAACAATATCACAAGATCCAGTTAACAAACTAGAATGTTTATATAAATAAGGTACATGAACAGTTCATTCCCTATTTTATACCCCTGAAATGTAAATTTGGTACACAAAATAGATGACTGGCGGTTCACCACTTTGCGATTTACAAGAATCTTTATTTATCGTCCAAATTTCTTGTGAGATCAACTAGCATCAGAAATTTTTCAGACCGATACGACTTAGGAACTTTCAAGAAAAGAGCCCACTCTTTTTTAAAAGGCCTCGGCTGCGATTTTACATGGGCGTTACAATTTTTCATAGACGGCAGTAATTACTTATCATGAGGATGACCACATGCTCGTTTGCCTCCTCTTATGTAAAAGAAACAGGTGACGAATATATCGCCTATCATATATACAAAACAGAAGAGGAAAATCATGAAATTCTCCTCCTTTTTTGAAGCTGGCCAATAAAACAACAAATTTCAGTTTATTAAATGTATAGTGTTGCAGTTTCACAAAAGTATGGTATATAATAATAACATAATAATAACTCTTTTATTTCAGACATAGATCCATATAAGTTGTTAGTAATTGTGCACCTTGAACACTAATGTTAGTTTCTTAAATATGAGTAGTCACTTTTCTCAACAAATCGTTCCAATAATCTAGCATATGCCCGTCACATCTTTCGGCGAACACGTTCATTATGTATCTATTGTGATTAGACCGTGAATAAATGTTTTTTCTTTCTTTCTTTCATTATACTGTTGCGGTTGCCACGTATTCTGCTCAACAGCGAGTACACTCTTTTACGCATTATTGCGAAGAAGTCATCTGTTCGTGTTTCTGCAAACATCCCTGATGAGCTACAAAATCGAGGCAGCCCCAACATGGCCCTGAAAATGTTATTATATAAAACACGAAGGTCACTGTAAGCGCGTTTTGTATACGTTGTCCATAAGCTGCATGCGTAAAAAGATTGACAATAGGTTTTGAAGAGTGTAACTTCCTTGCTGCACCGCGCAAACCTACGAATCAACATATTTCCACGGATCGACAGTGCCCTTCGCTCCCTCTTGATGTCCATATCATCTTTGCGATTTTCAGTTATGTAGTGGCCTAGATATTTAAACTCTTTTACTCTTGCTAGGGCAGTGCCATTAAGCAAAATAGGAGGCACATTCTTTGGACACTTTTTCCAGCTCTAAATACCATAAACTGACTTTTCTTAACATTGTATATTAAACCATGTCTAACAGCATAATCCTCACAAACGCGTAACAATTTTCTAAGAGCACTAACAGACGGGGCCAGTAGCACCATATCATCGGCATAACTTAAATTGTTTAAAGAAACTCCATGTACATAGCATCCGATATACATGCTGCTCAATTCACCGATTAGGTCATTAATGTACGGGCTGAATAGGTTCGGTGAGCTTAAACCCCCTTGTCTCACCCAATATTCTAGCCTATACGGATCGGAAAACGTATCTGCCCATTTGACATTATTTATTTGATAGTTGTACCAATACTCGAACATGGCAACAAGTTCAGCAGGTATTCCGGTTTTCCTCAACTTACTCCACAATATTTCATAGGAAACCATATCGAAGGCTTTTGACAAGTCTAGAAAACAGGCATACACAGGTGTTTTTCTGTCCGTGTAGTACTCAACGGTTCGCTTAAGGGCCAAGATGGCACTCTCTGTTGAAAGCCCAGTCTGGAAACCAAATTGAGCATCGTGTAGCTGCAAATATTTTCTTAAATACGTATCAAGTAGATCTTCAAGTATCTTTGCTAATATTGTAGCCAACGATATAGGTCTATAGTTGGTTATCTCCGAGATGTCCCCAGTTTAATTTTTTAGAATTGGCACCACAATAGTCCTCATTATATTATTAGGTAGATATCTATGTCGTAGGCACAGTGAAAAGAACAAACCCAAAACCCTAGGAAGATGGCCACCAGCACGTTGCAAATGCTCAATGCTAAGATCATCGTACCCAGGAGACCTCCCACTTTTCATGTTCATAATCACTGCACCCACCTGTTTAGCTGTGAAGCGAACATTTGTGTCTAAGGTGTCTTCCGTGTAGGTTTACCATTTATGGGCCCTAAAGGAGAGTCAACATTAAAATATTGCCTAAAATTTTCAACAATCTCTTTTTTTATCATTATTGTTCCCAATACTCACAGGAACACCAGGCCGCAAATTTAATTTATTTGTGGATTTCCAAAAATTTTAGTAGCCTCGATTACGGTATTTACTATAGCCTCATACATCTTATCTAAAGTCTCTTTGTAATCTATACATGTACACATACGACCACAACAATGGCAAAACTCTACCGGTAAATGCATATCTCTAAATTTCGAATTACAATATTCTTTATATTTGAGTATTTGATGTGGTTTTCTGTTGCCTCATATTATTTTACTATTCTTAACAATATTTTGAGGTATTTTGGACCTCACAATTGCTAGGTCACAAGTAATACTTAAAGGGAAATGATCCGACCAATAAATACTGTGTAAAATTGCAACATTGCGCATAGTTTGGTAAGCGGCAGTAGTAGTCACACAGTGATCGAGCCATCTTCTACTACCGTGTGCATCACTTAAATATGTCAAAGAGTCAGAGTACATACCGAGTTTGTCCATATCAGCGCACTGCCAACACTGATCCGTACAAAACTTTAATAATTCATCACCAAATAGCTCACCTGGGTGAGCATTGAAATCACCAACAATGTAAACTGTTTCTATCGCACAACTTTCAATGATAGCACTAATTTTACCTAAACACTCCGTGAAGTCAATTAAGTTTTCATTTTTATCCACTGGCATATAAATACTGAATACCAATATGGATCGGTCACCACTAACGGCTATTATTGCACATACTGTAGGATTTTCACAGTCGATCACTGTCACTGAAGTAAACGCCACCTTACGCCACAAGATCGCAACACCCCCATACGGCCTGCCGCGAAGCAAGCCAGCAGACGTATTAACTGACGACGTGCTGGTGCCCGCGAACTCATCGCTAATAGTATTCAAAAAAGGAAGATCACTACACAGCAACCACGTCTCTTGCAGCGATACAATGTCAGCTGATTGACACAGTGACCTCACACATGCCTCAGAACGCTTAATATTCTTGCAGTTATAAGTTATTAATTTGAAATTATTATCCATTATATTCTTTAAACGGTATTAACATAAAAACCTATTTCTCTTTTTTTATTCCTTAAATTAACGAATCTTCTGAAAGAGATTCCATCCGGCCATAAATTATTATCCAAAAAAGTGTTGACTCTATGTTTAGACACCAATAATTTGTAACTATTGTACCCTTTATCCTGTTTCATATCAATCTTTTGTAAGCTTACAATTTCTCGTATATAATTAATAATGTCCGTTTCGGCGGAGTCTTTATGGACATATAGAGATAAACAAAGGAACTTTTATATCCGTAGCTTTAAACTTTTCAGTGGACTGAACACTTGCTTTCCCTTTCTGCCCTATAAAACGATTTCTATATCTTTTTCTCTGTACCATAATCCACTCGTCCGCTGGTTGATCTATTTTCCATTCTCTTTCATTACGAACCATTTCTGCCATACCAGGTTTGTTTACATTCGGTAATGTGCATTTCTTTGCATTAGCCCCTACTACCGTACTCACTGGTGGCGATCTCAACGGCGGCGGTGGCGAAACACGTGTAGGTTTAGCGCCTCGAGACGCTATATTAGAGAGCACCGGCACCGTCGTCGCAGCCTCAGTGTTCGAGTGAGTTTGTATCGTAGGCGCGCTGGGTTCGTTGTTACTGCATTCATATTGTTCATTATACGATAGCGTAGTCGGTCCGCTATCCAGCAGATACCCTCCAATTTTTTTGCTAACGCTTACATCCAAAAGATTTGTCGGAGCACAAATTTGTTTCTTTAATTCTTGTACACGGTTATTAACTTCTTGTGTGATAACATAGGATTCTTTTTATGTAAGAAATTTCCGCTTTTAATATTTGTAAGTATATCCTTGACCAATTTTGCCACATATATATGACCGTAGCTAACAGGGGGTAATTTATTCAAGTCCCTAGCAACAAATAAATAATTCTGGATCATTGCCCTTAAAAAATGCAATATATCTCGAACATGTTTTCCAGAGCCCTTTCTCACACGTCGACTCGTTGATGACGATGTCACCGAAGAAAATAATAAAATTTTCGTCTTCTCAATATCTTCCGCAGAAAAACCAGTTGAACATATTCTCACAATTTGATCTTTAGTTAACACCTCTAACTTATTCTGCAAGTATGCTAGCACTTCGTTTATAATAATATTACACTCCTTACACTTCACGGCATCCATTTTTGATCTCGTGCGCAACCTGTCGGTCGCGCGTTCGCGACGCAACTGTATATGGAATAAAAGTAGAAAAGATCATAATTATATAAAAACAAAAGCAAAATTTTTAATTTGGGCCAACTTCAACACCGTATTAGGTTTATGCGATAAAATGTATAAGATTGCTGTGAAATAGATTTCTTTGTAATATGACTGCTTTGATATAATAATTTTGTAATTAAATATGGATCTATAATTATTACCTTACTGTATGGAAACAAAAATGAATTTCATTTTAATCGATTATGATAATGTTGGTTTTTTATTAACTTTTCTTCTTAAATATTCCATAGATTGTTTTATAAGGAGGATATTTGCCATATTTTACATACACGGCAGGTGGATCAGTAACCGCAATTTTTCATTTTCTAGTTAATATAAGAAAGACGCTGCTGCTCATCTGCTGGTTTGCTTCTCTTTGTCGTATTTTACGACACCAACGAGACAATATGTGAATTCTTGAAAATTATCTGACTTTATTTGAAAATAAACTTTGAAATTTGCTGACTGTCGAAATGATCTTTTACTTACTTGGCCAGCGCGCAGGATTAAAAGAAAACGTAATCCAGTCTATTCGTCTTCACGATTTAGACTATTGTTCAACAGTAGTGATTTTTTAAGTAAATAATCCTCCTGTTATTCTTTATTGCAAAATAACAAACAGTTAATATGACAAACCATATTTCAAGTTGTCGGTATATCACTTCGTTAAACAAAAGATTTTCGTTAAACATACATATGAAAATAATTGAACTTCAGTGGATAAAAAATCGAAATCCTCAACATATTTAAAGACCAATATAAAAAAACGCTACAAAGAGGTCTTAGAAAATTGAACGGTACCTTTTCCTGTGATTCAATGAAATTATAAATAGTTTGATTTTTAATCCTGGAATTGTTTATGTTATCAAGCGTTATGGACATTTTTTGTTCCATTTATTTAACAAACAAGAACAAGATCGGAGTCAAAAAATGTGAATCGAGAAAAACTATCACGTAGTGTATATTGGAGTCTTACCTAACAATGGAACCTTGTTCTTCCGCAAGTTCGGCCTTACATTAAATACTGTTCTTATTTCTGGCCCCCCCCAGTGCCAGCTCATTCTACTTAACCGAATCCAGCGCAGAGCGATTCGAATCGTCGACAACCGAGTTCTTTTTGATCGGCTCGATTCACTGGTACTGCGCAGGGATGTTGCACCCCTTTGCATTTTCTATCGCATCTATTACGGGGAGTGCTCTGAGGAATTGTTCAGTTTAATCCCAGCCTCAAAATTTCATGAACGCACATCGCGTCAACATTCAAGATACCATCATCACCATCTGGATGTTTGGCGGTCCACCACTGTGCGTTTTACTAGGAGTTTTCTTATGGTACAACTTTTCTGTGGAAGTATTTACGACCAGCGATTTTTCCGGATCGATACGACATAGTGACCTTCAGGAAAAGGGCTTAATCCTTTCTGAAAGGCCTGTAACGCACCTACAACTCCTCCGGTGTTACGGTTGTTCATGCACGGTGGTAGTTGCTTACCATCAGGTAAGACGCATGCTCGTTTACCCCCTCTTTTGTTAAATAAATGCAGCCATTGTGGATCAACAATGACGCACGCCTTGTCAGCCATTACAGCATTATGTATATGAAAATCAACAATGCCACTTGACTTCGTTTCAAGCATCGAACAAGTGTAGGCTTAGATAGTATTAGTTCTTTTAACTTGTAATATCTTTATAACAGTTGCTTTAAATTAAATTTATTAAAAGTAATTAGATTTTTTGTATACTCTGGTAGTAACATCCACAATTAATATCAAATACATACTGGTCTTTGGTCAAACAGTCGCACAGAGCATTTAAGAATATATACCCATAGAAATAATAAGTGACAGACTGGCTGAAAAAGCTGTGAATTTTGTGTTATTTCCAATGTTGCCTTTTTATGAGTATGCGATGTATATCCAGGTAAAAAAGGTTTTATATAATAATGTGTAGTTGAAAGTAAAATACAGCGTACTTCATTGATTCGTGATTCATTGAAAATGCATTGATTTACAATCGAATTACGACCTTTGGGCGACCGATTGTTATAATAAATAAGTAAAATTAAATTAATATTATATATGTGATTTTTTATAGATTAGGGCGACAAACGACGACACAGTCCACGTAGTAAGTGGTTGCTGTGGCCCATAGACATCTACAGATATCCTCAATTACGAATAAAAATGCAGATGCGTTGTCACCCGTGAGGACTACGATGGAATGCCTCGTTTCCAGTAAAGAGAGGCTCCGGTTCTCTACACCACCATATGAGACACAGCAGTGTTAAGCTACTATTTTACACTGGTATTCAGTGAGAGCGTGGTCCTTCCCCAGTCGAGTCGATCCATTCGTGCTACAACTATACTACTTATTTAACTGCAGCATGGCTCTACCACGTAAAAAAGATTTTTCCTAAATATAAACTTTTATGCACGCGGTGCACTCTGGCGATGGGTAGTAGGATTATCAGTTTCCGAGAATCGGGTCTGCATCTATAAATCCGCCTGCTCAACGTGATAAATACGAAGCAACTGTTTCAGGAAATTTATACATTTCGCACAAAATCAGCAATACAACTTGCAGCGCTTGCGAAACTTCAACTGTTTTAGCTTAGTACTTAATTTACTTTAGCTTAGTACTAAATTAATTGAGATTCTAAGATCCGGTCAGGGTATGATATTGTTTTTTTACTAAAACAAAAACCTTTAAATAAATATCATTTTAAAAAACCATGCATGATGGCATATCCTTGGAAAAGCTTATGGTCCAGCAGTATTGAAAAAGCTTAGTCAGAAAAAAAAACCTAAATCATTTTTCAAACTTTGAAACATAGCGTGAACTGCAACGTACCGTAAATTATAACACGCAGCCTTTCCATGTAAATACCCAATAAATGAGTTTTACTTAATTCTGCAAATGGGACACGGTAACCTCGTTAACTGGCAAATACAAATTGGAAACTGCAATTGAACTGAAATTGTCCGTGATTTCACCTTCATTAATGCGGGTAAACATAGGAGCACAATTACTTTTAGGCATTTAAAAAAAAACGGTTTACACAATACCTCAAAATTAATTTGTGAGATATTTTCATCATATATTTCAGAAAAATATTAACATTTAGGATACGATGTTTAATAAAAAAACAATGACGCGTAAGGCTTACTTGTTAAAATGATGTACATAAATGCTTTTCTTTATTATTATTCAGCATTATGGAGCAACACAAGAGGAGGAGAGTAGCCATAGAGTTATTTTCCGATACAATGCTCCCTTTCATTTTTTGCGGGGGCAAATATACTTAATATCTATATAATTTTAAAACATAATTTCAAAACGTTTACTTTTTTTTGTGGGTTTTCTTTTTTAATTACCTGCGACGGAACGGAGAATATTTATTATTGTTTATTTGTTTGTTTGTGTGTGCAAACGAAGGTTCCCATTTATGTCCAAACTGGATGGGCCGATTGAGATACGGTTTTCTGTAAAGTGTTTGTAACTCATCGGGAATGGTTCTTAGATAGGTATTATGATGTTAACTCGCCAATATATACTATTCCCTCACTTTCTCACTAAATTTGCAGCAATCGAAGCAATGTTGGTTACGATCACTAGACCAATGAAACAGTCACTATCGATATAAAGAAATGATACTTACGGCTCTCCATTTGCAGCTTGCACTCCTGCGTGTCGTGCGGGTAGATGAGGAAGTTCATGGCACAAGAAAATTTGACAGTGAGTTTCACCATATACAGGATCGTCATGTTCTTGTAGAGCCAGACGTAGTGGTTGGGGATGGTCATCGTCTGGAACGTGACGGACTTGGCGTTCTTGAAGAAAGAATCTGGACGCCACATGTGTTTTAGCCAGTCGAGGTCCAATAGTCTGTTAGTGATGCGGTGCATGATTAATACAATAAGTATAGAGTAAATTTCAAACACTAATATACAGACTTTTGTACGTGGTAGAGCCACGTTGCAGTTATATTATGGTTTTAGCACGAACGTGTCGGCTTAATATTGCTGTGTTTCGTTTGGTGAGTGTAGAGATCCAGAGACCCTTTTTTACTGGAAACGAGGCATTCCTCTTAGTCCTCTTCTTCTTAGTTCTCCGGGGTGACAAAGCATAATATAATAGTGGGTCCGCTGCAATAAACATTTATTGTGCAAACGAATGTTCTCATTTATTTCCAAAATTGTTATACCGATTTAAATACGGTTTTCTGTAAAGGGTTTGTGACTCATCGGCGATAGTTCTTGGATAGGTGATACGATTTTACCTCACTAGGGGGCGCTGCAATAAACATTTTTGTTCAAACGAATGTTCCCATTTATCTCCAATACGATTTGAATGATTTTCTGTGTTCTAAATCCATTTTAAATCCAACATAGCGCGTAACCTAAGATGGTGTCCTAGTTATTTTTTATACACTAGTAATGTACATCATTAAATGAAAAGGTTTATTGAGAAAATACGAAAAATAAAACGACGTTACTCTAATCCTCCGAGCTAGTTATTTCTTATGCATCTCATGATATGGTCGAACGATCGCTTAGAAGTAGGAGGGATAGTGTTACTACTTCCCAGCTAAACGGTAAGACTTACCCCCCCCCCCCCCCCGAATGGGTTCCCGCCTTGTCGTGGCGGGGGGATCATAGTAGCCGTGGCTTGGTCACCCGCGATGAACCTAGAGGAACCCACATGGCTGGCCCAAGGTGTAGGGCCGGCCCGAGTAGGCCACTCCGAGTGGGCTTGGAGAGCTCACTTCGGATGTGTGTCGGCGGGCTGCGGCGAGAGGGGTGCCCTATCCGCCTACCGCTGCAGTCTAGGTGGAGTCACGGCGGAAGTGGAGTGCTGGTATGGCGATACGCCACTTGCATTATCCTCCGCGACTCTGACGGGGCTGCACCGTTAATTGATGCGCCGCTCTCCCTACCCTCTGCAGCCGAGTCTTGGTTGGTAGCGGAGCCGTTGACCAGATCCGCTGATGAGATCAGGAAGGCTAGTGCTTCTGAGTGCTCGGTTTTCCTGGTCCCATGGCTTTCGCGCATCGGACAAAGGGGCGTTTGTTGCACACATGAAAATGGAGGCCGTGGAGGAGGGCACACTATGTATTCTGGTGCGCCTTACCTGAGATGGAGAAGGAGGAGAAGTAGTTTTTTCCCGAGGAGCGGTTGCCATGGGGCGATCAGCGATGGAGGGGCCGCGGATGTGTGCGAAAGCACTCCTGTGGCCCTGCCAATATGCGACGAAGGTTGAACACCATGAGGTTTGGGTCGGTGTTAGTCCGACATAACGGGTTTTGGGGTCCTTGCCCCCACGAGGAGAGTACACGTAGGCATTTCCCCATGTAAAAAGAGGTAGGTAAATATGTGTAGCAGCCATTATTGCTGTGGTTATCGCTGCGACATAGAAATAGGTACAGAAAGGTAGGAAAGACTAAGGAAAGTCGTAATTAGTTATTTATTATGACAGACTTCGCAAAAATAAACCTAACTCGGATACAGACTCTAATCAGTCTTTTTGTTACATTTATATAAAATTTCTCACCATACACGCGTAAGTTGTAGGAGGTAAAAAAAAGGATGTTAAATCAAGTAACCATAAAATTCAGGGATTAGTGGGGAAATTCTTCTGATGCCTGTGACGAAGTTTTATCAAATAGAATTTAAAACAAATAAATTAAGAGAAAGGTATAAATATAAAAGTGGTATATATAGCAACTATACTATCACACTCTTTAGTTCCTGAAAATAAACTTAATGTGCAAAGTGAAACAAAAAACCACTATGAAATTGGAATATGGATATTAAGTTAATATTATGAAACAATTTAGCGAATAAATCAACAATCACAATATGTATGTAAAATATGATATGACTGAAGGACCTACAAGAAGAAGCTTACTCTTACGCAGCGTGTTTTTGATTTTAATGAGCGGTGTCAAAAGCGTTCCCTCGTGTGCGTCACATACGCTTTTGCCTCCTCTCATATAAAAAATAATCTTGCTAGCAATTTCTGGATTTTTGTCTCATAGGTGTAGTTTATCACTAATATTAATATTCAGTTGTGAACGGTCGTCGAACGGAGTCGGGAAGGGACGCCCTAGACGAAGTTTTATTGACCAAATGTGTGTTATATTGAAAATGTGACAGAATAGGAGTAACCTTAATTGGAAAAATAACCATCGAGATAATCAATGAGTGCTACTTAGCCTTATCCCATAAGTTTACTGGACAATAATAAAATATCAGATAGCCAAATTTATATGTGAATGCACCATATGTGTTCAATCTAAGTATGACCGAAACCCAATCAAACCTCAAGTCAACCTCATACCACCAACTACTAACCCATTCGTAATTTCGGTGTATGACGTTAATAACCTCTTCTCTTTCCAATCGCGTTAACATAATTGAAACCGGAAATTGAACTTGCAAGTTTAAATTAATATATACCCCAAACCAGCAGGTTTCTATTAAAAATCCTTTAATTAATAGACAGAAGATCGCCCCATACAAAATTGCTGAACATAGACCTCTCCTACGGAATAGCACAAAGCACGGTCCGCAGCTACATGAGTAGTGTAGTTGTAGCAAGAGTGGGTCGGCTCGGCCGGGGAAGGACCACGCTCTCACAGAATAGCGGCGTAAAATAGCAGCTTAAATGCTGCTGTGTTTCGTATAGTGAGTGTAGAGAACTGGAGAAACTTTTTACTAGAAACGAGGCACTCCATCTTAGTCCTCACGGGTAACAACGCATTTGTATTTTTATTCATAGTCGAGGGAAGATATAGCTGTCAAGGGGCCAAAGCAACCACTTATTATCAAGTGGACTTTAATAAAAATTAAAAAAATGTAATTTATATTATTTTTATAGCGTAAAAGTAACCCATTAAATATAACTTTTGCATAAAATATCCCATACGTTTAAGTCTCGTACTAACACAAAATGATGAGTATTGAGTTTAATATGGGTTTTTTCTCATAAATATATTTTAAATGGAAATTATAACCCTTTTTTTTCAAAATTTGAATTTCAAATCCATGTGGCCAGATCGAAATCATTATTTTCTATTTTAAAATTTTTGTAGCGAAAAGTAGTTTTAGTTTCATTTTTCGAGGTAACAAAGTAGTGCAGTTTTCCATTAATTGGTTTCGCGGACGATACACGGTTTTGCATGTGCCACAAAAGTATCAATAAAATGAATACGTTGGTTTTAAAATACAAACAAAGAATTTAAAAAATCAATTTACAAAATTAGATAGGAGGCCATGGTTGGGCATATTTGTATATAAAGTTATGACATATTCGGTCAAAACGAGTGAAGGTTGACAGATAAGGCAGATCCCAGATGGAAATGCAGCTGCAGCATGACATGCGTTACGAGAATGATCATGCTGCATGAGGAGATCCTTCATGCTCTATAATTGTTTCTTAAATTTTTAATTGAGAGTCAAGTTATAATGTTAAAGGCAGAATTGTTTTATCTCGTAATTTTAATGTGTGTCAAAATCTAAATTTTGTTTAAAGAATTATTTTTCTTTTTTTGTTTGATTTTTTAAATAGGAGTACTAACTCTCCCATGATTATGGGTGCTGCAAAGCACTCAAAACGTCAGGAATTTAAAATATATAGAATTAAACGCGATAAAATCCCTAAAAGTAGTTTTAATCAATTATTTGTTATTTGTTATTTTTGCGTTGAGCTGTTGTATGACATATCAATCTAAAGACTTGTAGAACGAAAAATTTAACAAATTATGGTTTGCATAAATTAATAATGGATGGCATTATGAATGTAATATGACGACTTTTAAAATATCTATCTATACTAATCAAGCGGAAGAGTATTTTTGTTTTTTTGTTGTTTGTTTAAACACACTTATCTCTGGAACTCTGGAAGGACCAGTCTAATTTGAATTTTTTTTAAGTTGGTTAAGGTGACAATAAATAATTTTCAAAAAATGGGGAAGTTATTCTTTTCAACCCGGTTTCGAAAATTTAGTTCTCACCAGATCTCTAAACTATCCTGGCTATTGTGTGTGTGTGTGTGTGTGTGTGTGTGTGTGTGTTTTGTATGCGTGTGTGTTTGTGTGTGTTCTCTGATCTGCAAGAAAGCTTGTGTTCCAATTGCATACTTTCTCGGGAAGCCCATAGGAAGGCAGCTTCAAAAGAAGCGCTTTGTGCCAAACCCGATCGAAGGCCTTCGCAATGTCCAAACTAACGACCAATGCCTCCTCCTTGGACTCTATTGCCTCCGCCTTTTAGGTATAGGTCAGGTAGACCAGACGATTACCAGCTGATCGAACCCGACGAAAAGCGTCACTAATCAGCTGGTGATCCTTAAGGTACCGCAGCCGCAGTTAATAATGAATTTCATTACTTTTTTACTTCCTGTTTTGCATTAGATGAGCGTTGTATTACTTTGATCTGGTTTCGCACGAAAGACGCTAAGGTGTCGAACGATGGTATGTAGGAGCCATAATTCTATTTCGTACAAACTTACGGTGTCCGGATCTAGCCTTTTTAACGCAAATAAAATACAAAGTGAAATTTAAAAAAAATTGGGAGAGCGGCTACCGACGTTGCGAATCTACATAAAACTGTTCGAGATTATGAATATTTGCGACGATATAGCTTTAAGATTGAATATTTGGTATAAATATAAAGAAGCCAACAGACGTTTATCTTCGTATTTATTTTTCATCGATTCGAAAAATAACAAATAGTTGTCCGCAATCGGTGTGGGGCCGGTACAAACAAATTGCGCCTTTCTACTTCGTTTGCAAATTAAATAATATAATTTTTCAGCATCCGATAAAGAGAGATTATTATGTATAGTATTCTGTAAACTAGCAATAAAGAACGGCCGAGTGTTAATATCACCATTAAATATTGGGATA